GGGAAAAACAGCATCGTGTAGAGAATCGAACGGGTAATCGAATGGTGTGCTGTGCGGAGGATGGCACGTGCCACGTGCACCCGTGAGGGCACTTTTGTTTGAAAAATTGACGTTTCGGACGGTTTTTTGGATTTTATTTTATTTTCACATGACCGTCAGACTGAGAGAGTTAAAACAATGCCTTTTGGCAAGGGAAACGTACCGCCTCTCATGGAAAAATTGTGAAAAGCTAATTGATCAAAAACAAGGTGGAAGAAATCGCTGGAGAAAATGTCATTTGTCAATAATGTGCCACTAAATAATTGCACGGATTTTGCTGCTTAACCTGATACGTTTGACAATTGAAAATGCTATCATTGGAAAGAGCATTCAATTCTCTCCAAGATCCAATCATCACGTTTGCATGACAAGCAACAGTATTCTTAAAAATATAAATGTTTCAAACCTCTGCAAATCCATTTTTAGCGAAAATTATCTACGCCTTTCATTTGTCAAAAAACTACGCACCTGAATTATAAAACACATTTGACAGGTTCACTAACTATTGACAGGTTCTGAAGTAGAAAGCATGCTTATCAGACACGGGCACCTCGATGCGATGGATATTCTTTCCAAACCAAATCATTTAGCCATCAAAAAGCAATCGACCGAAATGGATGGATAACCAAACCGACACAAGAACAACCAAACACCCGTCAATCGAAAATACCCCTTTTCGCGTTGCGGAGCACGCGGGTCACCCTAGTAATATATAGTATATAATAGTATATATTATTGTAGTATGTAGTATATACTACATTGTATACTTGTATACATACAATGTATACAATGTATACATTGTATACATTGTATATATAACATTGTTACATACAATGAGTAACTCAGAATACTACAATGAGTAACAATATATTCTATATACTTATAATATAATACTTATATATACTACAATATATACAATATATACTACAATATATACTTATATATATTGAATACTCAGAATATTCAGAATACTTGAATACATTGAATTCATGTATTCGTGTATTCAATGTATGTATTCGTGTATTCAATTCAACGCGGTCGGATTGAATCGGTCGGCCGGATTGCGCCCAACTCAAATTCAGTTGGGCCGATTGTACCTCCAACTGACTGAAGCGAGCGGAGTCTTACGTAGAATAACGGAAATTTCTGAGTATGAGCGGCCGGCCGGCCGGCCGGCCGGCCGGCCGGCCGGCCGTGCGGACGCTTTTGCGAGGCTTATATCTCAGCAACCACTTGACCGATTTACACGCGGTAATTTTTATAGGGTAGCTTCATTCCTTCTACCAAGTATTGGACTATTCCCGATGCATGTGGGTGACCCCTTATGCACGTGCCACGTGCAAAACGAAGAGGTGTCAGTTTTGTAATTGTTGCAATATCTCGGTAACTACTTGGCCCATTGCGCTGAAAGTTGGCATGTAGGTAGGCACCCACTAGGCACTGCATATCCATGTGCCAGAGTTGGGGTGCTGCTGCACGTGCGCACGTGCAGGGGTCGTTTCCAGATCTCGAGAACGGCTGGACCGATTGCGCTCAAATTTGGTACACAGTTAGGGACCGGTTAGTAGGGTGCCGTGCAAAAGCCAGTCGGGACCCATTTTGCACGTGCGCACGTGCAGGGTGCCGCTCCCAGATCTCGAGAACGGCTGGGCCGATTGTGCTCAAATTTGGCACATCGCTAGAAACCGGTCAGTAGGGTGCCGTGCACAAGTCAGTTGGAGGTACCCCCTCGAAATTTCGCACGTGCAAGGCTCACCCTCTCGCTCGCTCCGTTAGTCGCCCCAAAAGGCGCTAACGGAAGGCCTTTTGCGCCCAGTATAACGCCTTTTGGGGCGAGTAACGGAGCGAGCGAGAGGGTGAGCCTTGCACGTGCGAAATTTCGAGGGGGTACCTCCAACTGACTTGATCAGTTGGACCAACAACTGACCAGTATAGCGCCTTTTGGGGCGACTAACGGAGCGAGCGAGCGGGTGAGTCTTGCACGTGCGAAATTTCGAGGGGGTACCTCCAACTGACTTGTGCAGGGCACCCTACTGACTGGTCTCTAGCGATGTGCCAAATTTGGGCACAATCGGCCCAGCCGTTCTCGAGATCTGGAAGCGGCACCCTGCACGTGCGCACGTGCAAAATGGGTCCCAACTGACTTGTGCACGGCACCCTAGTAACCGGTCCCTAACTGTGTACCAAATTTGAGCGCAATCGGTCGAGCCGTTCTCGAGATCTGGAAACGACCCCTGCACGTGCGCACGTGCAGCGGCACCCCAACTCTGGCACATGGATATGCAGTGCCTAGTGGGTGCCTACCTACATGCCAACTTTCAGCGCAATCGGCCAAGTAGTTACCGAAATATTGCAACAATTACAAAAGTGACACCTCTTCGTTTTGCACGTGGCACGTGCATAAGGGGTCACCCACATGCATCGGGAATAGTCCAATACTTGGTAGAAGGAATGAAGCTACCCTACAAAAATTACCGCATGTAAATCGGTCAAGTGGTTGCTGAGATATAAGCCTCGCAAAAGCGTCCGCACGGCCGGCCGGCCGGCCGGCCGGCCGGCCGGCCGGCCGCTCATACTCAGAAATTTCCGTTATTCTACGTAAGACTCCGCTCGCTTCGCTCGCACTGACCGGATATGCACTGACCGGTATCTATGTACCGGTCAGTGCATAGATACCGGTATCTATGCACTGACATAGATACCGGTATCTATGTCAGTGCACATAGATACCGGTAACTTATGTGCCGTGCGTAAGTCAGCTGTAAGTACTTCCTTGCATAGTGCACGTGCAGGGTTAAAGGGACTATCCCACCTTCTAAAATGTTGTTTAACCCGCGCCCTGCTGGGGGTGTTTGAACACCCCCCTTGTGGTTTTTCGCGAATATCTCAAAAACGGCGGCGCGGAGCGCCGCCGTTTTTGGTATACCTTATCATACATCAATTCTACACATGTTGTAAAAAGTTCAGACCAAGGTCATTCAAGGTCAGGTCACCAGGTCACTTGAAGTGACCTCACCTCATAAAAAGTTTCAATGTCTGTCATAGCTACACCGAGTGACTGATCGCTTTGAAACTTTCAGCGATTGATAAGAGTAACAGTATCTATAAAATGTATATCTTGGAATTTTGATATCGGTAACCTAAGGTCAGGTCAATTTTGCGACCTCCCCATTATAAGTCAATGGGAGAAAATTGAAATGCGCCTCTTTTGGACGAAAGACATTATAAACACTCCCAAACACTGAATTACAAGTGGTTTAGACACACTGAACATGAAAATGGTGTCCGTGACCCTTGTTTATGCCCTGAGGTCATCTTAGGTCACGAATTGTATCTAACAGTTTTTCGCAAATAACTTTTGATAGAGGCATGCTAGAGCGATGAAAACGCCTTAGATGTGTTCAGCTCGACGATACGGATCGACTGATATGCAACATGACCCTTTCCGGACCAAAAATTACACGGGGTAATTTTTGTAGGGTAGCTTCATTCCTTCTACCAAGTATTGGACTATTCCCGATGCATGTGGGTGACCCCTTTTGCACGTGCCACGCGCAAAACGAAGAGGTGTCAGTTTTGTAATTGTTGCAATATCTCGGTAACTACTTGGCCGATTGCGCTGAAAGTTGGCATGTAGGTAGGCACCCACTAGGCACTGCATATCCATATGCCAGAGTTGGGGTGCTGCTGCACGTGCGCACGTGCAGGGGTCGTTTCCAGATCTCGAGAACGGCTGGACCGATGTCGCTCAAATTTGGTACACGGTTAGTATATCTTGTCAGTTGGAGGTAAAAAAACGCCTTAGATGTGTTCAGCTCGACGATACGGATCGACTGATATGCAACATGACCCTTTCCGGTCAGGTCATGACCTTGACCTGAGGTCAAATTTTCAAGTTGACCTTTGAAGGTCAAGTTATAGTTCATTTGATGCGTCTTGACGAGAGGAACACGATGCCGGTAAAAGTAAGCTCGTACAAGGCTTGGGTCAAAACTTATTGCCGAAAAACTATTTCCGAAAAAATCGGCTATGTTTGCAGTTTTTGCCCCCTGCAGGCAAAACCGTTGACGTTAGGTCAAATCTGAGAGAATTACTCAGAAAGGGCGTTAATAGGGCTATCGAATGCGCTTTTCCGCGGCGCTGTAGCTCTATTGGTTCCCGAGTTATGCGTTGGCTTCTTGGAAATTTTCGATATTCGACCTGGAAATCGGCGAAATTTTGCCTTTAATGACCTCTGGTGACCTGACCTTTGACCTGACCAAAAAATTGACCGAAGTGATTTCGTCATTGTTTTTTACGCTCTTTCGAACGCCGCCTTCCGCGTATCGCTACGTGGCCCAGGAGCCGAGTTACAAGGGGGGGGGGGTGTTCAAACACCCCCCCAGCAGGGCGTGGAAATCCAGGACCCCCAGCCGGGCGCGGGTTAAACCAGTTAAATTGTGCCCGACTTTATAGGTTGGATGACCAGGAACACGGTTCTGGCATTTATTTTTCATTAAACATCTTAGGCTTCCCACATTCCAAACACAAACTTTCAAATATGTGACGTCACAGCCCAAAATTACCTCCTTCCCCAGGCCACATTACTGTCATAAAGCTGATTATTTTTACTCTGTAGGCACGACAACAAAGTTCAGACCAAGTTTTAAGCGATTTTTCAACGAACAAACCCATTTAAATCAGAATGACTAAACGAGGTAACGTCACACTAACAGTCGCTCCATGTTGAAGATAGGGCCTTGTACAAGGCCCATTTTCAAATGAAGGGAACGAATTTCTTCAACACCAAGAGGCCGCGGGGGTTGCAACCTAGATAGATAGTGGTTTCTGAACCTCGCCGCAAACTTGGCTATCTCAACTCAAGCCCCATGTTAAAGGTGGGATAGTCCCTTTAACACTCGTGGTCGCACGTTTGTTCCCCAAAAGGTGTCTGAGGTAGTTAAAAGCAGTTAAAAGTTCAATTTTGCGGTCAGGTATATTCCGCACGCATGCTCATTGCCCTCACTTACACACACATTCCTTTGTTCATATGTTCTATCAGTCAAAACATTTTCACATTATAACCAGGATTATAACAATACTTTAATTAAAGTTCACTACGATTATAAGTTAATGATCATATCCAGAATCATAGCCGTTATATCCAGATCCATGACCGTATCCACCATGTCCGACATCGGCGCTGTACTTGTAGGAATATCCACCGCCGTATCCGCCGTGTCCACCGCCGTATCCACCGTGTCCATATCCACCAGATCCCTGGGCCTCTGCGTAGATGTGTCCTTGTCCTCCTACGAAGCTGCCATATTTGCTGTATCCGCCGTATCCACCGCCATGGCTGCTGCAAATAGACAAAGTAGACGGATATCGTTACCAACAATTCAGACAGCGTGTCATTTGAGCGATAGGCGTTATCACAAGTGTATTCGCGGCCATTGGGGCGACGTAAGAAAAGAAGAAAACAGCTGGCCCCAAAAACTTTAAATTATCAAATAGCATGCACCTTTTCCCTGATATGTAGAGAATTTACCATTAATTGTTAGAGAAAATTGCATTTAAAATCTTCCATTTATGCTTTTTTCATCGTTTGCACAGTATGTTCTTTTACTAAGCTAGAGAAACACTAATTAGAAATAGTTCCCGCATCATCAAGAACAATAGGGAAGGCTTGAAGTGAATACAATAATCTAAACGGTTTTATAATCCATGTGAAGACACTTCTAAAATTGCCTGTAGAAATATTAAAGGCAAAAGTTCAACTTTTTCACAAGACGGATGGCTATAAACCTATTCAACGTGTGACAACTCAGCCGGTATATCGTCGCCTACAGCCCAGCTTTCCCTAGTGACCGATAGAGGCGCTGCTATCGATGTCCGCCCGTGCCGCCTAACGGCATAAAATCATCACATGCAAAATGGGGATCATATGACAGCGTGCCAACTTTTTTGGAAGTCACATGGTAGAAGAAGGTGTTAATTGCTAATCGACAATACGACCCGTTTAATGCCTCATTTCCCCAGGTTTGTGTTGATGTTGCAGGTATTACGGTACAAATGATAGCCCATTTAAACGCAATGACCTGTTTCACAGCATGTAGTAATCAGTTCTGAACCGTTTCCCTCTGATTTTGTATCAAGTAACACTCACCTGTACGTAGGATGTGACACGAACGATCCATATTTGGCACTTCCCCATGGGTTGTAGCTGCGAGAACGGCAGCAATTGTCAGTACATTTATGAGGCGCGTAAGAGTGAAAGCTCATAACGGAAAATCATGTGATAAAAAAAACAGTAAAAAATGGGAAGCTCCACTCAATTCTGAAGAGCCATACATGCTTATGTTTCTTTCTACTTTTTGTTTTAAAGTGATGAGTAATCTATCGTTTTCACGATTGATGAAGAAATATGGTTTATTTTTTTGCAACTTTAATCGGCTTAATTATTTGAGAAAATAAGGAAAAAATATGAAGAACAATGGATATCAGCCAATGGTTATCTATTTGCTATTGAAATGCAATTTTAGGAGTATCGCAAAAGACAGTGTATCAAACTTGTCATAGGTATATATTTTGTCAGTAAAGATTAAGAGCATCCACCGCTAGTCCTGCTCAATTGACGCTGATATTTCCAGAATGTGATATTCTGTCACGTCGTGTTTGAGCTGCCGACACTTACATTTGCACATGCTGCTGACTCTGAGCACTTCCATACCCGCTGGCAGCGGCGACAGCCACGCACATGGCAACCACGATGAGCTGAAAAAATTTACAGGGTTGTCACAATTCACGTTCAGTCAGGTATTCCTCAAAGTGCACGGTTTTCTGATAGTATCCCAATTGTTGTATTTAGGGGATTTCGAATACAAATTTTCAGGAAGGGTCGAAGCCCAAGGAAATTATATAATTAATATCGCAGCTAAAATGAATATCCAAAGTTTGCCTTGATCATGATTGGTTGGCCGGTGTACGTTGACTGTGCCTCTGTTGCCCGCTGTCCGACCATTTATACAGTCCGTGTCCACCCCGAGGACGGGGTCGGGTCGTGACTTGACCTTACTGCTGGACGGAATGCACTCGAGCAGAGCCCCAGTGCAGTCGCTGTGAGCTTTGTGGGCCGTGGACCGCCAACCCAGCGAAACAAATACGCAGTGACTGTTGCTGTCGCCAGTTATCGGCTGGCCATCAGACTTGTTGCAAAGGTATTTCAACAAGTGGTGTGTGAGATAGCATCATTTGCAACCACCTCATTATATACCTACTTATAAAGCTGACTTGCAGCAAGCCAGCAAGTTGTACCAATGACATGGGCTTGTATAATCACTTGTTTGTTGGCTCATTGTTTCCGTTACGGTAGTAATGATTATATCAGACATTACATTCAGACATTGTCGGAATTTGCCACAAGATCTTGTACTTTGCTAATGGAGACATAAGCGATTCGGTTAATAATAAGCACATTTGAAAATATACAAGCATGAACTTTCCTCGATATTGAATAAAAGAAGTGCCGAAGAATGTACCTTATTGGTAGAAAATATGTGATATTTCGGTCACAGGCCTTTGTCGAACATAAATAATCAAGATAAACAATAGTTTCGTTTCGCCGTATCGCGTTCCAACTACCTCTACAAAATTACGTACCTACATCAGTTCGTGACAAAATCGATATCGTATACCACTGTAACAAAGTATTATAATGCTGTTGAAGGGTGAAACCTCTATCTAGGAGTACACAGGTTTAGATGCCTTGATAAACCCGCGCCGGGCCGGTGCTCTGAGATTCCGCGCCGGGCGGGGGGGGGGGGGGTGTCTGAACACCCCCCCCCTTTAACTCGGATCTAGGCCAAGTAGATACATGCGGTGAGCGGCAATCGAAAGAACGTCCAAAATAAGGACGAAAACATTTCATTGATTTTTGGGTCAGGTCAAAGGTCAGGTCACCAGAGGCTATTCCAATATTTTGGAAACTGCCGACGGCTATCTCGGGAACCGATAGAGCTACAGCGCCGCGGAAAAGCGCATTCGATAGCCCTTCTAAAGAACTTTCTGGATAATGTTCTTAGATTGGGCCTCAGGTAAACGGTTTAGCCTCTAGCCCTCGCCCTGGCAGGGGAGGGGGTCGATGCGACCCCCCCTAAGGTTTTTCGAAGATAGCGTAAAAACGGCGGCGTGCAGCGCCGCCAAATTTGGCACAGCTTATGGGGCAACCTTTTTACATATGACCTGAAAATTTCAGGTCCAGGTGGCCTTGGGTCAGGTCACCAGTTCAGAAAAACCGGTACAAGGTCATGGTCAAATTTCAATTTTCTTTTTGCACCTGTCCAACTCACAGTTTTGGACTGATTTCCTTCAAACTTTCAGGATGTGCCAAGTTCACCGAGTTGTATAACATATAATTCGGGTTTTTTGAGGTCACTGACCTGAGGTCAGTTAGAGGTCATTACGTCGTAATGTTAAGCCTATGGGAAAATACTAAATTCGGAAAATACTGGAGATATCCGCTTCGTTCTATCACTTTTGTGCTTTGAAACCACAGTACTTAACAGCAGGTCACTTGGTGCTTCTTTGTTTGGTGTACTTATCCATGGGTCAGGTCAAATGAGGTCAACTGAGGTCAAATGACTTTTTTGCCAATAACTTGACACATAATGACGCTAGAGCTTAAAAATGGTATCATTGTGTTCCTAGTGATCAGCCGAATCGAATGATATGCGATATGATGCAATTTGGTTAACTTGAACTTAATTTATTAATTTAAGTTCACTTAAAATTTAAGAAAAACTTTAAGTACACTTAAGAAGGCTAAAAAGTATATAATTCGACGTGCCTTGACGTTCTGAGTTCACTGGTGCTTTTCTTTTTGCGCTATCTTAATTAGATCAAAAGTTATAAGTGAAAAACTTTTGACCTGTTTTTAGCGAAATTTTTACATTTATACCCCCCAAAACCCCCCTAAATATTGACCTAGAGCAACCAAATTTGCACAGGGGCGAAAACTCCAGGTGGCCCACCTACCTACCAAATTTGGTGTTTCTAGGTGCCATAGGAGCCAATCGCGAGGGAGGGGGGTCGCATCGACCCCCCCCCTGCCAGGCCGTGTTATGAAAAATGCCCTGCCAGGGCGAGGGCTAGAGGTCAAAAAATAAAAAAATAGCTGTTTTTTACAAAAAAACGTTTTTTTCGGGAGTAACTTTTGGCTCAAAAGAGCCATGACATTACTTTTGCCAGCATCGTGTTCCTCTCGTCGAGACGCGTCGAACGGACTATAATTTGATCTTGAAAGGTCAACTTCAAAATTTGACCTCAGGTCAATATCATGACCTCACCGGAAAAGGTCATTTTGCATATCAGTCGATCCGCAACGTCGAGCCGAACACATCTAAGGCGTTTTCAACGCTTTAGCACGCCTCTATCAGAAGTTATTAGCGAAAAACTGTTAGATTCTGTTCGTGACCTGAGATGACCTCGGGGACGTAACGAGGGGTCACAGTTGCCATTTTCTGGTTCAGTGTTTGACCTCCCTGTGACGTCACAGGTCAAATATCAAGGTCGTCGATATCCTAGCTTGTGCAGATCGATAAGCTCTATTGAATGCTGTTTGCGTTTTTCCAATCCGGCTATTGGTTCCGGAGATACGACGGGCGGGCCCTTTGCCCCCCCCCTCCCCCCAACAGAGGACGTTGAACCTGCCAGACCTCAACCGGGGGCGGGTTAACCCGCGCCCCACTGGGGTCTGCGTATAACGCGCACTTCTGGGGGGGGGGGGGGCTAACAGCACGAGGGTTAACAGCGCGATGAGAAATCACGTGGGAATAAACGTAAATGACCAGCCAGCAGCGCAATTTTCGAAAGTCCAATCGACTATCGCCAATGGAGTAATCGTACCCTAAAATCAACCCGTTACCCTTACCTTTTATCCCTACTCCGTGGTTGTGAATACGGCCACAGCAGGCGATTTTTATTATACATGTAATATAGCTTAACCCGCGCCCCCCCGGGGGGGGGGGGGCGGCTATTCATAGTCCCCTCCCGTTTTTCTGCAATAACTTCCAAACCACTTGACGTATCGACGCCAATCTCTCAGCACTTTCGGCTGCATCAATTTGATACCTTGGGTTTAAATATGAACTTCATAGTTACTATAGGTCGGCCGAAAATGACGTCAGAGTGACGTCATGTTCGACCGATTTCGACGCAAAACATTGAACCACGGCGATCGCTTCCAAGAGCTTAGTTTAACCCGCGCCCTGCTGGGGGGTGTTTGAACACCCCCCCCCCCCCTTGTGGTTTTTCGCGAATATCTCAAAAAACGGCGGCGCGGAGCGCCGCCGTTTTTGGTACACCTTATCATACATCCATTCTACACATGTTGTGAAAATTTCAGACCAAGGTCATTCAAGGTCAGGTCACCAGGTCACTTGAAGTGACCTCACCTCATAAAAAGTTTCAATGTCTGCCATAGCTACACCGAGTGACCGATCGCTTTGAAACTCTCAGCGATTGCTAAGAGCAACAACATGTACAAAATGTATATCTCAGAATTTTGATATCGATGACCTAAGGTCAGGTCAATTTTGCGACCTCCCCATTATAAGTCAATGGGAGAAAATTGAAATGCGCCTCTTTTGGACGAAAGACATTATAAACACTCCCAAACACTGAATTACAAGTAATTTAGACACACTGAACATGAAAATGGTGTCCGTGACCCCCTGTTTATGCCCTGAGGTCATCTTAGGTCACGAATGGTATCTAACAGTTTTTCGCAAATAACTTTTGATAGAGGCATGCTAGAGCGATGAAAACGCCTTAGATGTGTTAAGCTCGACGATACGGATCGACTGATATGCAACATGACCTTTTCCGGTCACGTCATGACCTTGACCTGAGGTCAAATTTTCAAGTTGACCTTTCAAGGTCGGTCAAGTTATAGTTCATTCGATGCGTCTTGACGAGAGGAACACGATGCCGGTAAAAGTAAGCTCGTACAAGGCTTGGGTAAAAAGTTATTGCAGAAAAACTTTTTCCAAAAAATCGGCTATTTTTGCAGTTTTTGCCCCCTGCAGGCAAAACCGTTGACGTTAGGTCAAATCTGAGAGAATTACTCAGAAAGGGCGTTAATAGGGCTATCGAATGCGCTTTTCCGCGGCGCTGTAGCTCTATTGGTTCCCGAGTTATGCGTTGGCTTCTTGGAAATTGTCGACATTCGACCTGGAAATCAGCGAAATTTTGCCTTCAATGACCTCTGGTGACCTGACCTTTGACCTGAGCAAAAAATTGACCCAAGTGATTTCCTCATTATTTTTGACGCTCTTTCGAACGCCGCCTTCCGCGTATCGCTACGCGGCCCAGGAGCCGAGTTAGAAGGGGGGAGGTGTTCAAACACCCCCCCCCCCAGCAGGGCGTGGAAATCCAGGACCCCCAGCCGGGCGCGGGTTAAAGGGACACTCCCACCTTAACATTATTTTTGAGTTGAGATAGCCATATTGGTGGCCATGGCCTGCAAATACCGGTTTGGGCACTCACAACATCGAAAAATGCTTTAATTCAAAGATATGGAATTTCAAACTTGCAGTTTTCGGATTTTAAGGGGCTAATGCATTGGAATGCCCCCTTAGAATTTGTGACGTCAGCGGAGATCTAACGATTTTTAAATCTCAGACTAAAACCATCGTTAACACGTGGTGGTATACGCTGCTTTGCGCGCAACGTCTGCCGCACTTTAAGGCTGCCAAATTATTGCTTCCAAATTAAGTCGCTAGTAACAGGGGAGATCCCAAAAGTAAACAAAAGTAAAAGCCTAATATCTTGAAAACCAGTGAATATTTTTCGGTGAAATTTGGTAGATATTCGTTTTCGCTCTTTCTGAACCAAGGGACATCACTTTCATGCCAATTCATTAACTTTTTTTGAAGGTGGGAGGGTCCCTTTAAGCTAGATCCAATTTCTTTGCATGAAAGGACTCAGAATAGACTGCGCTATCTGTCATCTCGTATTTTCAAAATTTTGAAAACTTCGATTTTTTATAATAAAATTCAAAATTTATATTTTTATATTGTTTTCAAAAAGTTTTTGACTTTTCGAAAAAAACCGGACTAGATGTGATAGAAGGCATGCTTATGACTAACTCTAGCAAGTTTTAGCTAAATATGTTCAAAAATGGCCAAGTTATACGCAGTATAGCAAAAAAATTAACAACAATCAATTTTTCCAATCAATTTTTCAGAACGTATTTGACATTGTACACCAATATAAATAGCACCATCGTGTTCCTGAGCTCAAACTGCATTCAATAGACACCTTTTTTGTTGAAAAAATTTAACCCGCGCACCGACGGGGGTCTGCGCCAACTTCGCACCGACGCACAGTGGGCGATCCGGCCGGTGTAGCCTCGCGAAACCTATCGGCATTCATAACATCCATGTTTTTGAAGCTAGAACCCCAATATTTAGGGGCAACCTTCTTGAATATCCAATGAGCATATGTTTTAAATAAGGGCTATCTCTTTTAGGATTTGTGCTCTGTGGTGAGCTTGCAATTTGCTTAATTGCCGCTCGAATAACGCATGAATACTTTTGAGGGTAGGTCGAAATTTATGACAATATGAGCTGGGTAGGACATTGAAATGGTGTGTACCTCCGTAGAAAATTGCTTCCAAACCAACTTTTTATTCAAACGATTATGCCCTACCAATTTATACATATCATGAAACAGCGTAAATCTCGCCCGGCAAGGCCCCATTTCATAACGTGACCCAAGCAGCGGGTTTGGTTTTTGGTAAATAACTTCGCAAAAAATGGCTGCAGAACCACGATTTTGACATCGTCGTGTCCGCCTTGCTCAGGCGCGTCGAATGGTATACTGTTTGTTCAGGTGAGGCCACCGTAAGGTGTTGACCTCGAGTCAAGGTCAGGTCAGAGGTCTTCAAATCACGAAGTTGGTCGAAGGAGGTCATATCGCATATCATTCGATTCGGTAGGTCTTCCGGAGTCCATTGGTGACCTTGTCGACTCTCTAGCTCAATTTGATCGGGAGTTATTGACGAAAAGCTCGTATGACCCTAGTGACGTCATAAATGACGTCATGCAAGGTCAACAATGCAAAAATGCAGCATCAGATCTTGCAAGGAGTGCATGAACTAACGATTCCATGTACTTGAGACAATTGAATATCATTCCTGGCGCCAAAATAACAGTTTTCATATTTCCCCATTGACTTATAGGTGAGGTCTTGTGACCAACCTGACTTTATGTGACATTTAGGAAAAATCTGAGATATAAAAGTTGTAAGACCTCTAAAGGACAGTAAGTCCTGCAAGTCTCACCTCCCTGTGAAAGTTACTCTGGCACTGAGAGCGTTGCAAGGTTGCGACATCTGAGGATCGTGCAGAGGTTCATTTATGACGTCATAGGTCAGTAACCTGACCTGACTTGAAAGTGCGGTTGGTGTCACAAGATTCGGCGTGCATCAAAGGTCAGGTATGCCAAGTAGCAGTTCTCTATTGCCTGGGTGTTTTGAGCTATCGCGAAAACACCCTTTGTGGCATTTACCACTTGTGCTCAAGTGCACCAAGCCACGGCCAACCCTTAGAAGAAAAAGGTGTCTGGATGCCAGGGCTGCAAGTGGCTGCAAATTTTCACTGGCTCCCCCAATAGATAGTGTCTTAGTGCATGCGATACAGCATTATTTTCAGTTTATCCTCGTAAAACTTTTTTTGCTGGGCTTTGTTAATTCAGTGAACGTAATGTTCAGTGGTAGAAAAAAATATAAAAAGTAAACCTAATTATTAGACATTTTGAACTGATTTTGTCTACTTGCTTTCTATGGCGGAATCGTCTAAACATCTAAATTTCACTTTCCATGCAAAATGGATGCTCAACACCTAGCAATTTCATCGTTCCGCAAAAAATTCAAAGAGCGTAAAAATCGGCTGTGATTATCCCCTTTATGAAGTGTTACGGAACGCTGTCTTTAACGATACTTTTGTCAACGAAAAAATGTCTCCCGAGCCATGCAAATGCACTAATCGTAATCTTTGATGAATTTTCTGTCGACTAGTATGCGTTGTTTTCCAGTTTCCGGAAAAAAGTGTCTTTGAGGTTTCGCGAGGCTAGACCGGCCCGATCGCCTACCGTGCGACGGGGGGGGGGGGGGGGCGGATGACCGCCCCCCCTGAGATCTCGAGAACGAAGCAAGATAGCGACAAGCAGTAAACGGCATCGGATATGCACGGCCAAGATCTACAATTTTTACAAAGGTCATTTTCAGGTCAGGTCAAAGATGACGTCACAGGGGTCGAAAAAGTCAAAATGGCGGCGCTAGATATGGAGAGAGTTTTTTCTCGAATAACTTTCGAATTAGTCAAGATAGGAACAAACTAAGGGCATCATCGTGATCCTCTCGTCAATTCGCATCGAATAATATATATGTTGACCTCGAAAGGTCAAGGTCAAAGGTTGACCTCAGGTCACGTGACCTCGAGGTCATCATGTATATCATTCGATGCGTCTTGACGAGCTGAACACAATGAGACCATCCACGCGTCTGTATCTTGTTCCTGTACGGAGGTATTGGCCAAAAACCTTTGGTGACCTTTGATGACGTCACATGACCTCACAGCTGCCCAACAGCAAAACAGACCTCAAGGTAGTGAAGGTTGATCGTATATGAAGTCATGTATGGTATATGGGGCCATTCCAACCCGTTTTAGTGGTAAAAACAGGAAGTTGATTTTTCCCCCATTGACTTATAATGGGGAGGTCGCGAAATTGACCTGACCTTAGGTCACCGATATCAAAATTCCGAGATAAACAAATTGTAGCTACTAATGACTTATAATATCCTGCGACTTTCAAAGGCCTCCGACATCTACTGTAGCTCTGGCACGGTGACAAAGTTGCAAAAAAGTGACTTGAGGTTGGGTCATTCAAAGTGACCTGGTGACCTGACCTTAAAAGGTAGGAGGGTCAAAGTTGCACACCATGTGTAAAATTGATGAGGTTATAGTCATACGAAATTTCGCGGCGCTACGCGCCGCGGTTTTCCCGCTATTCGCGAAAAACCTCAGGGGGGGGGGCGGATATCCACCCCCCCCGTCGGTGCGAGGGTTAACTTCAAAATTTGACCTTTTTTTACCTGAAAGTGACCTGAACTAAGCTAAATTCGACTCAAAATGAACTCGAATGACACAGGCGACATCAAATTCGAAATCTATGGACTAAATGGACCATAAAACATGTGTCACGTGACCGACGCATGATATGATATTTCCGTGACCTGTGATGACCTGAACCTGACCTGAAAATCAAAGTACAAGTTTGGTACCCTCAGGGTATCTAGAACATCTGTTCACGAGTGTGTAAACCAAAAATAAGCCTGATCTGATTTGGAAGACGGTGGCCTTAGCCCAAAATGTGAACAAGCCAAAATGATAATAATTTTTACTTTGACCTGACCTGTGACATCATCGGTTACCTCGAGGTCAATGAAATTAGGTTTCGTTCGACAGTTTTTCCGAGGCTATCAGACGCCCTTTGAATTTTGACGATCGGCCCAGTAGTTTCGGAGTTAGGGGGGGGGGGCTATGGAGAGCCTCCCTCCAGTAGGGCGTGTTATACGCAGACCCCAGTGGGGCGCGGGTTAACGGTGTTGAATAACCGACGCAGCTCTTTCGATTTCTGCACCACTCAACTGTCACTGAAAGTCCAACTCAGGGTCGAGAAGCGGGAGGACAACCAGCTACCCGGGAGGTCTCACGGCCGGCTGGAGTCACTGACTCAGAGTCGCCGTGTGACCTCAGGCGTGACCTCATGCGTGACCTTCGTGTCGCCCGGCTGCACCGGTCAAGTCACGACCGGACCCCGCCCTCGGGGTGGACACGGACTGTATAAATGGTCGGACAGCGGGCAACATAGGCACAGTCAACACAGACCAGTCACCGAGCAACACAACATGATCAAGGTAAGAATGCTAAGTCAGTTGAGGAGCAGAATACATAGAATGATTACAGGAAGATAAGTCATTGATAATTGGTTAAACAAAAGCCATCAAAAGACGCCATAAAATAGAAATGGTCTACTTGATCAGCCTGGTTTAGTTTTTCAAAGTTATCCACCTGTGATTAATGCTGTAGCCTGAAATAAGCCATTACACCTAACTGTAAATGTATTTGAATTTCAGTTTGTCGTTCTCGCCCTGTGTGTGGCCGCCGCGGCTGCCGACGGTGGATATGGTGGTGGATATGGTGCCCAGAGCCACGTCAGCGTCCAACAGTAAGTTAAATTAGTTGTATTCATTTAAAAACAGGTCGGAAAAAGTTCTTAGCATTACAATTTGAGCTTTTACCTTCTGCAAAACATGAAACTTACACAAAAACGGATAAAATATATGAGAAATAAACCAACGTTTTCTGGGTTGCTAGCAGCCAAATATGAGTTGATCACTTAAAACTAGACTGACTGCAAGAGTCATAATTGATGAAAATGTGAATATGTCGTGTCACGTGAGTTAGGTGTATTTTACGAGCGCACAGAGCACCTGGCAATGCTCACTGACTGATTCCATCCTGTTTTCAGATACAATCCCTGGGGCAGCAGCAAATATGGAGTTCATCAGACTCACGCCAAGTTTGCGTAAGTTTGGTCGTTTTTTTTTTTTCGAAGCAGACTTTTTGTTACAGCCTCATATTTTAAGCAGTATCGTTAATCAATACTATGAAAAATAAACAGCTAGCAAAGTTGGATGTCTATGTAACAATCACACCTCTCATCTTTTCTCTATTTTTTTCTTAGCGGCCATGGTGGCGGATACGGCGGATACGGAGGATACGGCAAGTTTGTCGGAGGACACGCCAAAATCTTCGCTCAGGCCAAGGGATCTAGTGGATATGGACATGGTGGATATGACGGTGGATACGGCGGATACGGCGGTGGATACGGCGGATACGGCGGTGGATATTCCTACAAGTACAGCGCTGATGTCGGACATGACGGATACGGTGGATACGGCCACTAAAATTATCTTGTTCTCCCCGCTGAGCTCATAGAAAAGAGGTAAATGTCAAGTGCTAGATGTGTATGTATGTATGTATGTATGTATGTATGTATGAATGGCTGGGTGTATGTATGTAATTGTATGTATGTATTAACATCAAAAGCCTTCCGGCATATAGCCTGGCGATTATGGCATTGAACGTTACTGTAGAATGCGAAATATATTGTGATGCAATGTTTTTTTTTTTTTTTGATAATAGGAAAATCATGATCCGGATAGGATACCATATGAGTAGGAATACTATGGACAATTACGGATGACACTGAATTGAATGTCAAAAATTCGTTTATTAGGGGTATTGTAATTGGGAGGGTGGGGGTTCTTTATCTCTTTTGGATGTAAACTTTACTGGTTTTCTGGCACCGTTTAACCCGTGACCTGCTGGGGGGAGGCCGGAGGGTGAATGCCCCACACCCTGTGGTTTTTCGCAAATATCTTTTTTAACCCGCGCCGGCCGGGGGGGGGGGGGTCTGAACACCCCCGTCTAATTCGGCTCCTGCACCATGTAGCGATACACGGTAAGCGGCATTCGAAAGAGCGTAAAAAATAATGACGGAAATACATCAGTCATTTTTTGGGATCAGGTCAAAGGTCAGGTCACCAGAGGTCATCAAAGGTCAAATGTAGGGGAGAGCGGGGCCAGTTGAAACACGGGGTCAGATGAAACATGGCTTTATTTTCAACAGTATGCAACATATGGCGTTGCCGACACCACTGCGCATCCGCGCTCGACCACTTCCTTTGTCAACGGCATTTGGGCGGCAAACGGACGGTAATTTTGATTTGACACTTGTTTTGGTGTTTTTGAGGGGCGTTTGGGAGAAATCGTTTTATGAATATTTTGTGATATCTCATATACCCTTTGTTTGCTGAAAGAAGAACTCCTGGCTTCGGAATAACACCTTATTTGGCCCTTCATTCAGCATGATGCCGTCCCTCCAGCTCGTTTGACATGTGCTTTACGGCGCGTGCGAGATGGCGGGAGCGGATGGGGTCAATTGAAACGCTTCTCTGAGGGTCAGTTGAAACAGGGCCACAATCCGTTTCAATGGACCCCGGTGACCTTTGCAATGGTTATTGTTCAGGGGCTGTAAACATTAAAGGAAATAGTCCACCTTTGAAATGAGCTTTTAAACTGAAATAGTAGTTTAGTAGAGCTCAATTTTTGACCCCTTTTTCTCCAGCCTTTTGCTTGAAAGCACACTATAGCCTGAGATATTTCTCATTTTCCTCATCCGCCCATTTTACCGTAGTCTATGTACTTTATGTCACCTATTATGAGGAACTTTGCACTTTTAGCTTTCCAACGACCTATTGAATGTAGCATTTGGAAAAGTAAACCGGACAAAATATCTCCTTAAAGGGAGATAATGATCTTTTTCCACAAAATCTGAGTTAGGACCATTTTCTGACAAAACAAAACAAGTTATAATGTAAATTAAAACCATTTTGCTCAATTCGGTACCTTGCCGCAAATATCTCAACTTGAAGTAACGTTAGCGGGGAGCGCTGAAAATGACCGTTGAATAAGTACTTACATCACTTTTTGGTACTTGCATGTAAGTTTGTAAAATGAGCGTATTCCTTACATTTGATCTTCATCACATCTAGTTAGTTAATGGTCGTCTATAGTGCCTTCAAAAGATATTCATGGTTTGGGGGTGGTTTATGTCTAAATTTACGCAACTATTTTTCCTGTTCATCATCTGACGCCATATGCTGCTATTTTAGTAGCAACGACTCAATTTTGAATCGGTCCCGCCGACTGTACAATAAAAGAAGATAGATACAACACTTTTGCGGCATCACTGAAAAACTTATGCAGTACTGTTATCAAAATTCTCATAACACCGTTCGACAAACCTGAAGTCTTTTTGAAATAAATATGCTTGTATTTTTCGCTTCAGGCTCTGACGCCAAAATAATGAATTTCGTAGTCGCAATCGCAAGATTTGGCTGCGTTTCTGGCGCATGCCGTTCATTTGTGCCGCATGCCGCATGCCGAAACAAAAGAGTAGGCACTATGTACCCCCGAATTAGAATCTAATTAATTCTAAACCGAATTAATTTTAATTCAAATTAGAATCCTTACAACCAAGCAACGACAAGGTGATAACATAAACAAAAACCCAAGCGTCGCTGTTTGAAACAAAAGCGCCATATACTGCGACTTTTTTTATAGAGAAGGACAACGCATTTCGGTGGGTGTTACAAGTACTGTAAGTACTGCTTCTTTTTTGCAAAAATAAAACCTTTTTCTCATACGAAAATGTGCTAGGAAATTTTCATATTTTATAGAAACTACAGAAGAAATAGTATAGATGTCAAGTAATTTTTATTTAAGAAAAAAGAAAGCTCATTATCTCCCTTTAACCCGCGCCCGGCTGGGGGTCCTGGATTTCCACGCCCTGCTGGGGGGGGGGGGTGTTTGAACACCCCCCCTTGTAACTCGGCTCCTGGGCCACGTAGCGATACGCGGAAGGCGGCGTTCGAAAGAGCGTCAAAAATAATGACGAAAAGACTTCGGTCAATTTTTTGGTCAGGTCAAAGGTCAGGTCTCCAGAGGTCATTGAAGGCAAAATTTCGCCGATTTCCAGGTCGAATGTCGAAAATTTCCAAGAAGCCAATGCATAACTCGAGAACCAATAGAGTTACAGCGCCGCGGAAAAGAGCATTCGATAGCCCTATTAAAGCCCTTTCTGAGTAATTCTCTCAGATTTGACCTAACGTCAACGGTTTTGCCTGCAGGGGGCAAAAATTGCAAAAATAGCCGATTTTTTCGGAAACAGTTTTTTTCTGCAATAACTTTTGACTCAAGCCTTGTACGAGCTTACTTTTACCAACATTGTGTTCCTCTCGTCAAGACGCATCGAATGAACTATAAGTTGACCTTTAAAGGTCAACTTGAAAATTTGACCTCAGGTCAAGGTCATGACCTGACCGGAAAGGGTCATGTTGCATATCAGTCGATCCGTATCGTCAAGCTGAACACATCTGAGGCGTTTTCATCGCTCTAGCATGCCTCTATCAAAAGTTATTTGCGAAAAACTGTTAGATACCATTCGTGACCTAAGATGACCTCAGGGCATAAACAAGGGTCACTGACACCATTTTCATGTTCAGTGTGTCTGAACCACTTGTAATTCGGTGTTTGGGAGTGTTTATAATGTCTTTTGTCCAAAAGAGGCGCATTTCAATTTTCTCCCATTGACTTATAATGGGGAGGTCGCAAAATTGACCTGACCTTAGGTCATCGATATCAAAATTCTGAGATATACATTTTGTACATGCTATTGCTCTTAGCAATCGCTGAAAGTTTCAAAGCGATCGGTCACTCGGTGTAGCTATGACAGACATTGAAACTTTTTATGAGGTGAGGTCACTTCAAGTGACCTGGTGACCTGACCTTGAATGACCTTGGTCTGAAATTTTCACAACATGTGTCGAATTGATGTACAATAAGGTGTACTAAAAACGGCGGCGCTCCGCGCCGCCGTTTTTGAGATATTCGCGAAAAACCACAAGGGGGGGTGTTCAAACACCCCCCCCCCAGCAGGGCGCGGGTTAAGAAAGTGCCCTTAAAGAGGAAAACATCCCATTGTTAAGGATAGGTGCAATTGACCCCATGGGCTGGTTCAATTGACCCTCGCATCGGGGTCATTTGAAACGGGCGTAGAGCTGTTTTATAAGCATGCGTTTGGCGGCAAAATATGTTTGAAACATAATTTTACATATGTTAAAATAAAGCCAAAAGAGCATATTTTTTCATGGTATTGTGCATTTTTCGATAGGACAACTAGATCTCGCTGTGAATGTCAATATATAAAAAGTGGTTCAACTGGCCCCGCTCTCCCCTAGTCCATTTAAACAATTTTGGAAACTGCCAACGGCTAATGCCGGGTTCACACCGGATTCCGGACCGGCAAAATTCCGTCTGCCGGGCCGGAAAAATGGCCAATTCCGTGCCGGAAAATTGAAAACTGGTGTGAACCGGCAAATCTGGCAACTTCTTTTGACCGGTCCGGCAGGCCGGAGAGCCAGATTTTCCGGTCCGGCAAAAAGTTGAAATCATCTCAACTTTTGCCTTGCCGGATAGCCACCGTTTGTGATATGAAATTAAGGCACGAGGGAAATAATGTTATGTTTCAGCGCTACAGAACCAATTTAACCAACGGTGCCCTAATAGTCTCGCGATTTTTCACGAGAATATAAAATTCAAGCGTAAATTTGACGGCGTTTCATTTTTATTTCAAAACATTTGCATCTCAAACGGAGTGATAGCTACATTTCTGTTTTTGTATGTATTTCACATGACTCATGGCCTTTTCAAATTATAAATTAATTTCATTGGTTGGAAAATATCCATGACTTTATAATAAAAAAGATAAATATTATAAGGAAGCGGTGAAAAGGGCGAATTTGCGGAACAACATTGCGGACGCGCTGGTTGTAGAAGGAGCGGAGCCAGTATCTGCAGAAGAGATTAGCAAGCGCTGGAGCCGGCCGCAGGACAGGTAGCACAATGTACGTATTGCTAACTTCCGTCGTCTACGAAATGGAGTCAGCCGAGCAGATTCTGAACTGAAATCTACATTCTACAAGACGCGCTGACAACACTTCTCTGCCCTCGATGCCCTCCTACACAAGCACATAGCAGCTCGGGAGGGTGGAGGCAGTTTTGCCATTCAATCGCAAGTAGAAGATTCAGGAAATACGATGGTACTGAATGCCAAGGATATTATCCCGCCCCCTGCTGGGGGTGGGGGTGGGGGGATATTTGAACCCTCCCTGTGGTTTTTCGCGAAGATCTAAAAAACGGCGGCTGTTTTTGGCACACCTTATCATGCATCTTTTCTGCACATGTAAAAATTGTAGACCAAGGTCACTTATGGTCAGGTCACCAGGTCACTTCAAGTGATCTCACCTCATACAAAGTTTCAACGTCTTCCATATGCTACATCGAGCGACCGACCTCTTTGAAGAGGTCGGTCGCTCAGCGATTGATAAGGGCAACAATATACACAATTTAAATAAATAACTATCTCGGAATTTTGATATCGGTGACCTAAGGTCAGGTCAATTTTGTGACCCCCCCCCCCCCCCCTGATTATAAGTCAATGGGAGAAAATTGATGCCAAGTTATGCGTTGGCTTGTTGTAAATCGTCGACATTCGAC